GGGAAGGAGAGACAAGAGAGAGAGAGAGAGAGAGAGCAAAAAAAGAGAAAGGAATGAGTCATATCGGACGGCACAAAAAAAAAAAAAAAAGAAAAAACCTATCCCAATCTAAATCATCCAAATCTTATAATAAATGCCTTCTGCAATACTATATGGGGAGGGGAAAAAAAAAGGAGAAAAGAGGAGGAAAAAAATACAACAAATAATCCAAAAACAAAAAAAAAACGAAAAAACGACATTTTGAACAGATTTCACTTTTCTTTTAAAAAAAAATTTCAATAGAATTCCCTATTAAAAGAATAACCGATTGTAGCATATAATTCAATAATCATTTCAAATTCAAATTTCAAAATCATGGAGAAAAAAGAGAGGGCATGAAATTGACAGATATATTGATGCAAATAGTACAAAAGGAAAAAAAAACATCAATTTTATTTACGGCAATCGTATGTAACCAAACATCTAACTGTCTAAATTTGAGAAAGAAGGGGAAAAAAAACATCTGACTGTTAAAACTCGATTTTTAACAATGAAAATAATGTAATCAAATTTCAACAAAAACGTCCTTATATTTGCAACCTTTTCATGATGACAGTAACCATAATCTTTAACCTTTTGATGAATGATATCGGTTGGATTTTTGTGATCGAGGACAATCGACATTATCACTTTTTGGACCCCCTCCTGCGACTTTAACATTCGATTAGACCGTAGTAGTAATAGTTGTAATGACTCAATTCCATCCTTTAGATGAACATGAACTTTCTTTACCTCACTTTTTCGTGCTCTCCATAGAATTTTCATACTGGGCATGATGAATAATTTCCTTTAGGGATAATGTTATGAAATCGGTTCGGAAACCGTTTGCGAATGAATCTTATTACTTGATCCGGAAGAAAATGATGGAGGATGATGGATGAACCTTACACCACTTGATTCGGGAAAAAAAAGTGGCAGCAAGAATGGGAAGTCATAAATGGTACAAAAGGATGATAGATCGGATGAGAATGCCGCCGGATCGCATAGCTGAGTATGGTTCTAGTCATGAATCCATTTGTAAGCGACATGACTAAGGACCATGCTCAGCTACGAGTAAACAGCATCATGTGTTGGACGGAAATTACTTACACAAGGAAAGCATAAGTAATAATTGGAAGAAAAAACCGCAAGTAATATAAATCCTTAAAACTTCCATTACAAAACTCGGAAGATTTCAAGTAATCCTAAGAGAGAAATTGTAAAAAAAAGAAAAAAAGAATGAAACAGGAAGATTAAAGTACGAGTAAAGATGCTAGAAAAAGCGCTGAACTAAGAAAGAAAAAACAAAAATAAATCAAATAGGAATGAATCAGACAACAAATAAAATGGTAAAAAGTTGACAACCGTAAAATTCAAATTCAAATAAACTCAAATTTCTCCTTTGGCATCCTTGCCTTCATCACAATCCAGTAGAAAACACCTAAGGTCATATTAGTGACCCTGAATGAAAGATAGAGATCAAATCATATGGGTTGTACTTAAAGGTCACTATTCCAATCGAGAGAGAGAGAGAGAGAGGGAGGGGAGAAGAA